TAAATTAGTTAAGAAAAGAAAAGGTGGGGGAAATGTCTAATTAAAAATACCAAGTAATCTATTAGTAAAATACAGCATTAAAAAAAAGGCCAAGTATAAAACATTGTATTTTCACTTGAAACACCTTCTCTCCTACTTTCTTTCCTCTCTCCCCTTCTAACACCTATCTGAAAAACAATTCCTAAAATCTCCCTGTATGTTTAGATTCACCAGTCAATGCTAAGTTTATTATCTGTAATTGGTAGAAGTTGTCACTAGGGGACCCTACATAGAAATAGCCAGATATCCTAAATGCACAGAACACAAAGACACACATGATTTGCCTTTACTATGGTTTAAAACAAAAATAAACTATAATTATTAAATTACCTAGATTCAACACTCCGGGAGGAGACTTTTTTCCCTTGCCAATGGTTTATCAGTTTCCTACATTCTCAGAGTTGCTCTAAAAGTTTAAAACTGAAGCTAGAAGGAACATCATGGAGTCAAAACCATATGATTCCCTTTGCACAAATCAGGTTTCTCGGTTACTTAACACTCTCTAAAGACCCAGCCTTTTCCTGTACACATCTGTATATAATGTTTCAGTTGCCCACTAAAACTTTCTTTAGCACCTCTATTTCAAAATTTTACTTTCCAGTTATCAATACAAATTTCCTTCTAGAAGTCCAGATATACCAAATTTGAGCTATAACCAAATATAAAATGAATAAAATATAAAATATTAAGCTGAGACATGAAGCTTTTTACCAGAAAACAGCTATCAGACTGTTATTAAGTGTTAAATGTACTATGTGAATATGGCTTTTTATCTCCCTAGTCTTTGTATTTGTCTAGAAGAATGAAGATAATTCAAAAGGCCTCTGAAAGGTAAAACTGAGATTTTCTCTGAGTTATCTCAATAAAAAGCACCATCTCCTTTATTCCCAAATGCCATGACTGGCAACTTATATATAAACAGACAACTGACTGAAGAAGAAGCAGAAATAATAATCAGTTATAGGAAAAAAGTGTTAATCTTCACTAGTAACTACAGAAATGCAAATTAAAACCCCTAGATAAATAAAAAATATAAGCATCTGATTCTATAGAGATTGTGATTAAACCAATAACTACTTATTACATTAAACTGGTAGCTTATCCTAATCCCTTTGGAAAATTTTATCACTATACATAGCAGTAACCACAAAATTCATTTATACTCCCCTTGTTCCATAAAGTATATTCATCACCATCTTACTTGGTTCCTTTATCATGGGTGATCCTTCTCCTAGATTATACTACTCTAATAGATGGCTTCATCAAAACTAAAAATAGATTTTTCTATCTCCATGGATTTTAGTTGTCGTGAAGGTTAGGATAATGATTTAAAAAAAAAAAAAAGTTAGAAGCAACCTAAATGTCCAACATCAGGGAACAGTTTACTAAATGAGACAGATTGAAATGCTAAACTACAGGGCTGCCATTAAAATTGTAACTATGAAGATTATTCTAAGTCTTTAATGAGAAATGGAACACAAAAATGCAAACAAAATATTTGCCAGTGTATAAAATGTATTGCTATGTAAAGATGCATCCCCAACATACAAGGAAATTTTGGGGAAAATAAAATAAGCCTGTTATTAATATATATTTTGAAAGTGCTTTTAAAGTAGCTTTATAGAGAAGTTATTTTGTTCATGTAAATACAGTGCTTTATGGCTGGAACTTAAGTAGAAAATACGAGTTCTGGATAGCTAGTAATATCCTATGAACTCTGTTGGAAAAAAATTATAAAATCATATGCTCCAAAAGAAATGCATTGTGATCAGTGAACGGTGGTACACAGAAACACTCTCTACCTCAGCACTGTAAAAGTCTAGGCTAGAATTTCAGTGATTATTGATAACAAAAAACAAGTCAATATAAAATAAATTTGAATAATTTTTTATGCAGTATACACAAAGAAAATATGCAAATAAAAATGGGCAAAAAGCAAGTAGCAAAACATAAATCTGAATGAATTCTTATGCAGGCAGCCATAATAATAGTTCACTAATATTCAACGCAAAAAATAAACTAATTTGAAGGAATTCTGTCCAGGCTTATTCGGAAACAAATGCTTTAAATTAATGCATGGTACATTAAAAAAAATAAAGAATTCTAACAGAACTTGTTTAACAACAGCATAGTTACATTGGAAACAAAAAATACAAAAATAAAATAGAAAGTATCATAAAGATTTTAATCTTTATTCTAAAAAACCTAGAAATAATCACATTCAAAATTAAGTAAATTATCAGTCCCAAAGCATGCAAATCTGACATCACAGGTAGACTTTGCATGACTCTCTCCATCAAAGGCATTTGCTATGTTAGGAACTGAGTCATCATGATTTTGAAATAAATTGAGTGTGTCTGAGGATATTACTAATTCCATGTTTTAAAAGAGATTGTACCTCTTGTTTTATAGCATTCTGTTAAGTTTTAATTCACCCACACATCTGTAAAGTAAAAAAAGAGTGTCACTTCAAAATCTCAAGCCTACACCCACCTGTACCATTTGTCCTGCATAAATCTTTTAAGTGATGTATTGATAGAGAAATAGAACTGACAGTTTGGCTTCTTGGAATTAGAGCTGGGGGACACTTTTATTGCCAGATTCTCCAGAGAGAGCTCTACTAGGGTCATGACAGGAGAACTGAGAACAGATTTTCTCTCCTCAGCCTCATGTTGGTTACCCATAATATTATGCCCTTCTCACATACAACCTTTGGAAGTATTAACACACATGTTCTTAATTCTTCTGGTCATGATGCCCTTACAATTTTCCTATAGAGATTATTTTGCTGCTCTTATTTTCTCAAAGTCTTTATTTTCTTAGTTGGTGGTAGGCCAGGTGATATTTCATGGTGTCCCATGGTGATATTTCATAGTCTATAAACTTAAGCTTTTAATGTTATAGCAATGTCTCTGTTGGTTTTGAATCACTGGCTACAGCAGTAAGAAATTTAAAACTGAAAGTGAAGGGGGAGAATGCAAATTCTTCACCTGATTGTGTGAGCTATGCCTTGTTACTTATGGTAAGAAAACTATGGTGTCTATGACTGTGACATTTCTATCTACTCTGTGATATTTGCTGCCATTCTCTGCTGCTGGGAAGTATTATCTTCTGAGCTCTCTGGCTGCCCTGCAGTGTAAGTGCCTGACATTAAGCTTTCTGTAGCGTGAGTGCTTGACATTAAGTTTTTGATTGTTGAGGCATCCATTTCAAAAGACATCTATCCTGAGTAAACATATTGCTAGCTGTGTGCCACAGCTACTAGCAAAACGACCAGATAAGGATTTAGACAGTCCCTTCCCCCCATGAAGTTCTCTCTTTGAGAAAGCCTTTGGTAACCTACATAACTGACCCTCGGAGTGGCCCCATTTTCTTCCTTATCACACCCTAATTCACAATTTTATTCTTTAAATTAACCAATGAATGAACCCACAAAATCCTAGACACTCTACCCTTGGATCCTAATAAATCCCAGGTTCATGCCTTTCCCGCATTCCCCCTCAAGTTCACTGTGTACCTATTGGGTTTGCTGGGGACCTTCCAGGACACTTGAGTCTTGTTTCTCAAAGTCCCCTGATGTTTTTTGCTGAAGTGTGTCTTGCAGTTATAATAAGCAGCATAAGGGCTAGTCCAGCAACACTGGCCCCCATGGGGGAAATATGTGTTGGGGCCCACTATGAGTAATAAGGGTCAGGTGAGTATCTCAGGTACTCAGAGCTGATAAGATCCCCATCATGAAGTTGACGTCAACACAACAGATTTGCTTTTTCATACTCAGCTACTGGGAAGTAGTATCTTCACTTTTATCTCGTTGCTCAAGTCAGTTAAATGCAAATAATCTTTATCTTTTGTTTTTGTTAGTACTACTTATTGCATCTTTGTTTTCTATTTTATTAGTTTACATTTTTTTTTTTTAGTTTACATTTTTTGAAACCATCTCAAAGTTACAGAAAAAGTCCCAAGTGCAGTACAAATAACTATTTTCCTAAATTATTTGATGGTAAATTGGGAACAAGATGTTCCAACACCCTCAGAATACTGAAAGTATTTCCTACAACAGGGATATTCTCTTACACAACCATAATACAACCACCAAAATCAGGAAATTAACAACAGTACTTTACTACTGTCTAATCCTGGACTCCACTGCAGGCTCACCAGTGTCTAAACAATGTCCTTTATAGCAAACGGGTCCAGTCAGAACCCTGTGTTGTATTTAGGTGTCATGACTTTTTAGTCTCCTTCAAAATGAAACTTTTTCCTTAATTCTTATAATTTTGAAGATTTCACACTATGTTTTAGAGTACCTCTCAATTCGGGATTGTCTGTTGTTTCCTCATAATTAAATTCAGATTATGGAGTTTTGGCTGAGTAACACAGAAGTGATACCGTCATACTATCTTGTGGCACATTAACTGACTTGTACTATTACTGATGGTATTCACTTTTACCAGCTGCCAGTCTTCTCCACAGTCAAGTTACTTATTTCTGCTCTGTAATTAATAAGCATATTGTAGGGAGGGATTCTGAAACAATGTACAGTCAATATGCATTATTCTCGGTAACTGTATTCTACAAAGTTGCCACGAATGCTGAGTTAGTGAATATTAAAACATTGCTCCTAGGGGAAATACAGGGCTAGGTTTCTGTGAGCCTCTGGTCACAACATTTTCATTTACTAATCAACATATAACCTTGCTTCACATTTGTTTAAGAACACACAAGATTGTTGATACAACACTGAACTCCCAGCCAACAGTGCTATACTCAAGGCCGAATGAAGCTTATATAACACATGTCATTTCTCCATAAGGCATGTCATAGCCTTCTTGCACTTAAGAACAGTACACATTTCAGTACCACCTTTAAGGGTCATTTTAAATAGTGAAATGACCACCAAATAGCACAAAAATGCAAAATACCATTGCATTATAAAGACTGTGAAAAAGACACACACATTATATTTATTATTTATTATACTATTTATAATTATTTCTGTATCTACCTATATGCTGAAAACCATGAGTTCACACCAGTATCTCCTATTCTAAAACACCATGGGGTACATTCCAATTTTCTCCTTTTTCACATTTCTAATTCCCATTCCAAATAACACAAAGCCTAGATCCCATTATCCTTAATATTATCTACTTCCTAGATCAACCTTCTACAAGTAACCAATCTTCCACTGCTGTTCTCTTCTCTGCACCCCATCCCCACCTACCCCAGGACGTGTCCTCACCCTGCTCAGTTCTGACATGCTGCACCAGACCAGACCTCACCAAGAACTCCCTCACTACCACATCCAGGCTGCCAGAGACCATACAATAGCACTGCCTCCTCCACAACAGCAACCTCCATGCTCTGTGGCTCCCTACTTCTGGGCGGATGGCTGCATTGTGAGCACCTTCTAATGTCTTTTGAACTGAGTTGAGAAGGGTTGAAAAAGAAGGGGAAGGACAACGCAAACAGTTTTGGCAGCTGAGTTTTCCTCAGTATTTAAAAGAAAAAAAACCATATCATACAGGCAATTTAGATCCTTACATTGGGCCAATAATTTAAAAAATTTAAAAAATCAATAGTGTAAATATCCTTCAACTTTTAAGCAAATCCATTACTTTATATTCTTGATAATTTTCCTTTAGTTGATCGTTCTGCTTATTTTCAGTACAGCTTTATATTATTAGGAGCACAATTTTTGTGCTCAGTGGAGTAATAGTCACAGCAACTGATTGTACACACATTTGCTAGTCACCTTTTTTTTTTTTTAAAGATTTTATTTATTTATTTGACAGAGAGAGATCACAAGCAGACAGAGAAGCAGGCAGAGAGAGAGAGGGAAGCAGGCTCCCTGCCGAGCAGGGAGCCCGACGCGGGACTCGATCCCAGGACCCTGAGATCATGACCCGAGCCGAAGGCCACGGCTTAACCCACTGAGCCACCCAGGGGCCCCTGCTAGTCACCTTTTCACCTTTTGTTTGTACTAGAATCTAAGCAGCCTTTGGCAAGGTGGTGGAAATGTGCCTTCCTCACCAGCAAATACAGGCATGGCTCTGTCAGGATTGTAGGTAGATATCTAACTTTATGGCTCCTAAAATTTTTCTTCAGTGTTATGTTTCTTATAAAATAAATAAGTAAAGGTCATGAATGCAAATGACATCTTAGTTTTTCTCTCCTCTAGGAAAAAAGCAGTTGAAATGATTTCCTTCATGTCATCAGCAATAGGTCACTCTTTCTCCATATTTACATTAATATCTGTGAAGAATGGTTACTGCTACTCTTTCTTTTTTCCTTTAGAGGCTCTACAACAGGGATAACAGATATATGCCTACACTTCCTTCCTCCGTACTCACTACTGTATCCAGACTGAATTAGGCCTGGAAAAGGAAATTCTGGAACCAACATCATGCATATGTACCATCGTAATTTCATCTCCTGGCATGTGAATCAATGGAGAGATGAACACATGAATAAATAAGGTACTGGCAAAGTGGCTTGGACATGCTGTCCTTTCATTTCCATCTCTATGTCTAGACAGAATTCCAGGTCTCATTTCTAATTAAAAAAAAAAATAGATTAAAACTCCTCAATATTAATTCGGACTGTTCTCATTAGAAATCAAACAGACTCATTTTTATTATTGATTATTAATATTATTTCCAGCATAAAAGGTAACACACTACCTCTGCACTCGGTACACTCGAGTCCATGGAGGCACAAGGGCAAGGATCCGAGCCACCAATTCAATCAGGTCGCTAGGAGAATAACTCTTATATCTTCCTGATTTCCAGAGCTCATAAAGCCCAGTTCCACGAATCACCAGGGTAGGGTAGAGTTTCAAACCATCAGGACGAAAAGCAGGGTTCTCAAAAAATTCCTGTGAATGGAGAACAGAAAATTACCACTCCATCAGTTATGCAGAGATTGATGAAGTTTTCCATGGTCAAGTTTCAGTCCTGGGCCAGCTTCTTGCACATACCTACCAAGTCCTTAGACTGCCTTTCCTTTCCTTCAAGGGAGAGATGCAGACTAAACAGCAACTCATTGTTCTTACAACCTCCCTGGAACAAAATGTGTGTGTGCTGGTTTACAAAGCCCTTGTTAATCCAGCCGGTCTACTGCTGCAATCTCATCTCATGCCACCCTCACCACCTTGCCTTTCTGCCTTTTGCAAAGGCAATTTCCTCTGTCTGAAGAGTAATTTTACTTCATCTAGCTAATCTCTAGGTCTCGGCATGAATGCCAATTCTTCAGAGAGGCCTTCCTGACCTTAAAAAAAAAATTCATATTGAATTCTATATTACTGCTTTCTTAATATCACACTGATAATTTATTCGATGTCTCCCTCTAGACTGTGTCCTCCTTTCATACAGAATATACCTAGTTGTTTAAACTTCTAAAAAAGTCATGACAGAGATCATCACTTGCCTACAAAACCTAAAATGTTTACTATACAGCCCTTAGCAGGAAGAGTATGGCCAGTCCCTGGATATGCCTATTTTGTCTTCAGGCCAACCGGCACCATTCCTAACCTGGGATACACACTATTTGTTATCTAGACACTGAGAAATATATCTAATTTATCTACTTTGACACAGTCATTTCCTGTACTATATCATCCAGCTGGCTTTATTTGGGATAAAGCAAGGAGACACCAGGCATTATCCTTTCCATGACTTTGCACTGCTCATTTGCTCTTAATTTAGCACACTGTGTAATAGAGGAATGAAGGTGGACTCAGTTTCCTCTCACTCCACCCCAGCATTAGTATCTATAGAGCTAGCTGTACTGTATCTTGTGACTATAACAATGCTTTTTATCTCGTGCTACATTATTCTTGCAGAGCTTTCCATTGCTTAACTTGCTTTTCAAAGAAATGTAACTCTCTCTCACTAATTTTTCAATCTCTCTCACTAATTTTTGTCATATTCTTAAATGCTCTATTCTTTGTGCATCATTTGGTTTTAGGGATATTCTTCTGTAATTGCATGTAATTTTCTGTGTACCATTTATATATTAACAATTCATTAAGCCTTTATAAGTAGTCTATAGCCACCCAAAAGAACATGTATGCAAGTCCTTCTGTACCTAGTTTGAATCCATGTTGGAATACAGGATTTCAGAAAAGTAGTTCAAGTGCTTCTATGATAAATTTAGAAGATAGATGGGCTCATAAGAACGATGATAGATGAAACTGGTTCTGGACTTCTGGTTAAACAAGAATTAAAACATGTGTTCCCTTCCTTTTCCTCCAAAATCACAGTAATATAAGAGATGAACTTTTATAAAAGTATAAACCCAGAAGAACAAAAAGAACATCAGAGGAGATGCGGGTTGGGGGTTAGAGTACAGGACCAGTGATAGTAATAAATTTTTGGAAGACAGAAAATGGATGAAGATTGGCAAATGACTTTGCAGGTAAATAGAGCTGTAAGCAAAGTATCTGCAAAAGTGAATACCAATGAAGGTCCAGCTCAGTTACACGAGAGTCCCACAAAGGCTCATGGGTCAAATGTACCATTAACCAGGCAGAACGGAAGAAATCATGGGATCAAAGTCTGAAGATGGAGGGATTTATCCCTTATTCCTTTGCCCTGCCTACAAGGCGTTTGTTCTGCCCTGCCCATTTGTTCCTGGAGAAACTCCTGAATGCTGTGATTCCAGGTACAAAGGAAGGCCTAGGTGAGGATAAAGGCTGAAAACACAGAGATTAAGTGAAAGCCAGCACACTGGTGAATTTCCTGCCTTGTTTCCTGGATGCCAGCAGTCAATTTTGTGACCTACTCATACCAGCCACTTCCAAGCAGGAAGTTGGAGAGTTCATCTCTGGCAAATAGCCCTAAATAAGAATTCAAGTTACTGACATTTGAGAATCCCCTAAAGAAAAGGAGAGCTGGGGCATGCCTGACTGGCTCAGTCAGTAGAGCATGTGACTCTTGATTTTGGGGTTGTGAGTTCGAGCCCCATGTTGGTGTAGATTACTGAAAAATAAAAATCTTAAAAAATATAAACAAAATAAAACCTTAAAAAAAGAAAAGGAAAGCTTATTACATGAATATCTTTCAATGAGGTATACCAGTAGCTGGCCACCCAGAACTTGCAATCTGTTCTTTCAGTCCCTTACTTTTTAAATTTTATTTATTTTTTTCTGAGAGAGGGAGGAAGAGGGTGATGGAGCAGAGGGAGAGGGAGAGAGAGAATCTTAAGCAGGCTCCACGCACAGCAAGGAGCCTGACATGGGGCTCAATCTCACAACCCTGAGGCGAAATTAAGAGTTGGATGCTTAACTGACAAAGCTACCCAGGCCCCCCGGTCCCCTACTTTTAAAGTATGACCATCTGGCTAAGGATCACCAGAAATTTGGAGGAAGCCTAGAAAATAAAGGGCAAAACAAAACAAAAAGAAAAAAAAAAAAAAAGGAATGTGGAGGAAAGATGCATTGCATAAAGGAAAATAAAACTTAAAAAAAAAAACAAACCCTGTAATTCCCTCAGAGAGAGAAGATCTATTACATCCATTATACAAGAATAGGATGGTAGGGAAAAATCAAACAACCAGAAGGTAAGAAAGAACTCCTGAAAATCAAAGCTATAACAAAAATAAAAACATTTAACTGAAAAGTTGAAAGATAAATATAAGAATAGAAGAAAGCAGGAAAAAAAAAAAGGAAAAAATAGGTAAAAAATATATGAAAATATTTGATGAATATGGGAGATCCAACATTTGCCTAAGAGGAGTTTTAAAAAGAGAACATAGAAAATGAAAGGGGAAAATTAACCAGTGGTACAAGGAAATTTCCCAGATGACAGATTCTTCAAAAATCTAGCACAATTAGTTAAAAAAACTCTTGCCAAGATACAGCACTGTGAAATTTCACAATACATGGGATAAAGACAATTTCTTAAACAGACTTAACAAAACACCCACGTTACACAGATCACAGGATTAAAGAATAAGGAATATAAGATTAGGAATAAAAACACATAATGCTCCTTAACAACAATGCTAAAAGCTACAAGGCAATGGTGCAATGCCTTTAAAAAAAGTCTTTACACAAGTCTGTAAGTGTGAAGGTTGCATACAACCATTTTTTGAGCACACCAAAGGCTTACTTTCTATGAGGAGCCTTTCGTAAGGAACCTGGTAAAAAATGTATTTTAGTAAAGTCAAGGAATAAACAGATAAAAAGGGTTAACTTGGAATCCAGAAAAACAAAGAATCCAATCCAGGAGATTGGTGAAGAGAAGACCTCCAAGAGGACAGTTGCGAACCAGGCACAGAGAACTGTCAGTTTGGAGTTGGAAGGTAAGACATCCACAAGACTCACCACTGACTTGACTGGTTACTTAATCTCATCAGGCCTGCTTCCTCAACTGGAGAGATTACATCAGGTGGTCTTTCCTGACAGAATGCTACAGTGACTTGTATCCTATGCCACTATTTTCAGTAACAAGCCTTTATATTAAAAAAACAAGTAACAACAAATACCGCTAGCCATCCCTGCCACATAGTCATTCAACCAGATTGGCTCAGTGGGGGGAAAAAAAAGAACTTGTGTCAGATGTTAATGGACTTTTAAAGACTTCTGCTAACTGACAGGTTCTGAAGAGAAACAGATTCTTCAAGCATTTTCAGCAATCTTAGATTGGATATTCAAGAGCAGTCTAATTATTAAAGGAATAAAACACCAAAACAGCTAAAGGTTACTTTGAGTAATAAATAAGTTCTATCTGAGGATAGGTGGAAAGGGCAAAGTTAATGCTTTTAGGATAAATTCCTGAATTTCCACCACAACAAGGACTTCCAGCTTTATAAAAAAAAAAAAGAAAACTTCATTTCTGAGTTCCTGGAAAATATAAGCAAATTTATTTATCACGGACAGCTACAAGCTCTGCACCTACCACTAGATAAGAGTGTGAATTTGTCATGAATAGATGCATAAACAGATACTAAGAGTAGTGACCCAGAGCTGACCTAAACAACAAAGCGTGAGATCTAAGCCAATTTATAACTAGCACACTGCAGGCATACAACCCAAGATATAGCTGTGATACCCCAGCAGGCTGGGTAGTAGATTTATGGATCTATGCCAGGCAAGGCTATCACGTCCTCTATAAAGATAACATTTGCTACACTTCTGTAATTATAATTATACAAGCAGATTCCCAATTTAGCAACCCTTCCTGCGGAACAGAACACATTAATTAAGGAAAAAGTACCTGTGGGTTGCTAATGGTGGAACAGTAAAATAAAGTAGGGAAAAAAGTTTTTGAAGTATAAAACAGGGGTGCCTGGGTGGCTCTGTCAGGTCAGTGTCTGCCTTTGGCGCAGGTCATGATCTCAGTGTCCTGGGATTGGGCCATGCATGGGGTTCCCTGCTCAGTGGGGAGTCTGCTCCCTCTTCCTCTGCTAGTCCTACTAATTCAGGAAAGCTTGTGAATTCCAAATAGGCCCAACAAGATTTCCTAAAACAAAAATTAGTTTTAAAAG